CGTGAGCCACTGCCACAGCATGGCTACTGACAGACAAGTGATGTGGTTCTGCACCCAGGAACCGAAACATTGCCTGTATGTTATTCTGGAGCTAAGACTTGAAGGATTACTAGGTTTTTGCCGATTAAAAATTGGAAAGAATGTTTCATTTACAAACAGAAACTAACATTGGAGGAGTGTTATACCTGAACTAGCTATATCAAATGAATGTTTTGTATTACATACGTTCTCTCCTTGAAGTGTATTTGGGAGTTCTAGAGACCTCCCCTGTGGTGATTCCCTTGTCAGGAGCTCTAAAACATAACAGTTTGAAAATCGCTAGACCAATTAGTTTATCTCCAAAGCTTCATTGAGCTCTGAAATGTCAAGATTTTGTGATAAAAAAAAATAGTGTGGTGTAGTGCATAGTAGTATTTTAGACATGAAGGAGTGGATTTTTGTCATAACCCTGCCAGTGGTACTGTATGTATCCTTTCAAGTTCTTCATATAAATGTATATACCCTTTCCTGGAATCATCTCCAGATCAATATTGTCCTGGACGTCTTATCTTTTTCACAAATACTTCTAACACATATCCAAAATTGAACTCCTAAACTACTTCTTCTGTATTCCCTATCCTGCTTATTGGTGTTCATTTTCCCAAATCACTTCATCAGACTCTTTCACGTTCCCTCAATTTGTATATGTTCTTCCCGTCCCTTTTCAATTCTGGGGCAAGTCTTGCTCATTGTATAAGACCCTAACAAGCCCTTTTCTTTTCTTTCTTTTTTTTTGAGGAAGATTGGCCCTGAGCTAACATCCGCTGCCAATCCTCCTCTTTTTGCAGAGGAAGATTGGCCCTGAGCTAACATCTGTGCCCATCTTCCTCTACTTTATATGTGGAATGCCTGCCACAGCATGGCTTGATAAGCAGTATGTACGTCTGTGCCAGGGATCCAAACCGGTGAACTCCGGGCCACAGAAGCAGAGCACACAATCTGCTATGCCACTGAGCCAGCCCTCCTAATTTCTTTTATGAAGTATTCTTTGATTATCTGACTTTCCTCTTACTCCTCATAGCACTTTGTACATACCTCCATTAAGCCCTTATCATTTTAGACAGCTTGCTTAATGTCTCTAATCTTTCATTTTCTCATCTTCAAAATAAATGAATGAGCAAGACAAACTATAAAAATTTAAGCTTTACAAGGGCAGTAATTTTGTCTGTTTAGTCCACTATTATATCCCTAAATGCCTAGAACAACACTTGGCCCATAAGTAGATACTCAAATATATCTTTTCCTTTTTAACTTTTTTTTTTAAAGATTGGCACCTGAGCTAACGACTGTTGCTAATCTTTTTTTTTTTTTTCCTGCTTTTTTCTTCCCAAATCCCCCCAGTACATAGTGGTATATTTTAGTTGTGGCTTCTAGCTGTGGCATGTGGGACACTGCCTCAGCATGGCCTGATGAGCAGTGCCATGTCCACGCCCAGGATGCAAACCAGCAAAACCCTGGGCCACTGAAGCGGAGCCCATGAACTTAACCACTCGGCCACGGGGCCAGCCCCTCAAATATTTTTTAATTGATTTTTTTTTACTATTATCCTCAAAAGATATTTCTGTGCAGTCATGCATCACTTAATGATGGAGATCCATTCTGAGAAGTGCATCATTAGGCAATTTCATCCTTGTGCGTACATCATAGAGTGTACTTACAAAACCTAGATGGTACAGCCTCCTACACACCTAGGCTACGTGGTACTAATCTTATGGGACCACCATCCCATATGCAGTCCGTTGTTGACCAAAATGTCATTATGTGGCATGTGACTATATATATTCCTTAAACTTACAGCTTCTTAACTTAAACTTGCAGCTTCTGGGCCTAACAAGATTTTAGTGAAGTGCAATCATTTAAATTTTCCAAAAGTCTAATTTATTCATCTTGATAAAACTTAAGAAGATATTCGACTTAAGAGTCTTATAAGTATGGGAAATTCAGTGGATTTAGAGGACAAAAAAATACCTCAAGTGGCCCTTGTTAAGATTTAGAGATATGGTTGATTTTAAGATACTAAGATTGACATTACTTTTAGAAGATATTTTGGACCAAAAAATGTTGAAAATATAAATAAAACTCAAATTGGTTTAAAATGAGATTTAAAAGTCTAATCTGTACCCAAATGACATATGATTAATCCTCATGTTTAAAGAGCATGTTACGGTAAACCAAAATTTTCTTAATCTGTACTGACAGTTAATTAGAACAGTACTTATATGGATGAAGTGAGGCAGGCAAAGCAAGAATCAGTTTTTAAATGTAAGGTTAATGAACTGAACCCTCTGTATCTGAAAACCTGTTATATACACTTATGAAATGGGACATATTTCCATATAGACAGGCAGAGAATGATTCAGTTTTGTAGCTATAATAATTATTTCTAAATTTTTTCTACGATTTCTCCTTTGGTTTCTAGCTGCCAGATTCAATAGCTGTTTCTCCATAATAATTTTATCTCTGATATTTAAACACAGTTGACTTTCTTGAAGCCATGGTTTTCCCTTGACTTAATGGGACCATTCTCTCCAAGTTATGCATCTACTTCTTTGACTATTTCTTCTCAACCCTCTTCCACTGGTTCTTCTTCCTCTTCCATCAACATCTAAGTAAAGTAGATGTGGCCTTTTGACTAATTTTCATTTAACTAATTGTTCTCGGGCAATTTTACCTATAAGTGAAACCTCAACTTCTGTCTATTAATTTATTCAACAAACATTTGTTGAAAGCATACTATTACGCCAAGCACTGTTTTAGGTACTTGGGATACTTGAGTGAACAAAACAAAGATGTCTACTTTCTTGCTTATATTGTAGTGAGGGGTAACTGATAGTACAGAATGAACGTAGCAAATAAGCAAATTTTATAATATGCTACAAGGTTTGATAATTGCTCTAGGAAAAAGAAAAAGTAGAGCAGATAAGGAAAATGGAAATGCCAGGGGGTTTTTGGAAAATGAGGGCATTTTCCAATTTTAAACAGGACAACAGGAGAGGACATTACTGAATGGTGATGTTTGGATAAAGAAGAAGTTAGGCATTTGGATACTTAAGGACCCTAAAGCAGGAGATAGTGAAGGAGGAGTAAGTGTGGCTGAAAGAGTGAAAAGAGTGGGGAGTAGTAGGAAATGAGGACATAGGTAATGGGACGCTGCATCATGTAGAGCCTTGTAGATCGCTGTAAGAAATTCATCTTTTACTCTAAATGGAATAGAGGAGCCACTGGAGATTTTGAGTAGAAAAGCAAACAGGATCTTGCCTTTGTTGACAATTTGTTATGGGACATAAGGAGGGAAATCACTTAGCTTGGTAGAGGGTGATTAACAGTGGAAGTGGTCAAATTCTGTATATGGTTTGAAAGTAGAACCAGCAGATATCCCGACTGATGAGATGTGGAATGTAAGAGAAAGAGAGACATCAAGATGACACTGTCTAGCCACCTACTGCACATCTCTACCTGGATATCCCTTAGGCAATGCAAACTCATATGCAAAGTCTAAACTGACTTTGTAGGTCTCTTGTAATCATCTTGATAGGTTTGTCGCATGACCATTGTGGTAGGCTGAATAATGTCCCTCAGTATGACAGAAGAGATTTTGTAGATATAATTAAGATAAGAATCTTGAGATGGGAGATTATCCAGGGTGGGCCCAATGTAGTTACTACAGTCCTTATAATAAATATCAGAGAAAGATAGAAGCAGAGACAGTGAAGGAGATATGACTCTACAATGCTGGCTTTGAAGGTGGAGAAAGAGTCCATGCACCAAGGAATGCAAGTGGCCTCCAGAAGTTGGCAAAGGCAAGGAAACAGAAACCCCCCTAGAGCCTCTGGAAGGAACCAGCCCTGCTGACATCTTGATTCTAGCCCTGTAGCCTCAGCTGAATCAGGTATTTAACTCGATTCTGAAGAATTTGGAGTCAAATTTATCAATATTTAACATGCAAATAGGGAATTATTATGTTTAATATTGCTAAGTGAATATGTGTGTATATTCTGAATTATACTTTGAAAGTCAATTTATATGCATACCATAAATATACATTCTCAGTATTCTCAAAAAAGATATCACAGTGTTACACAAAACAATGTCTTTGTCTAGTTAGAAAAATTTAAATTGTCTAATGTATTACCTTGAGCACTAACATGTAAGCTTTACGGAGCAGAACCAGTAGTAATTTATTGGTACATAATGTACATATAGGTAAAAATTTATTGAATAAGTAATCAAGGAATGAAGGAGTGAATAAATAAATGAGCAGTCAAATTAGGATTCCTCATTCATATATAGCCACTATGCATATTCATTTAACAAAAAAGTAATGGTATAATCTCCTAAAGAGAAATTTTCTCCTTTTATGGTGAAAATATTTGAGATTCTTACCTCCATATCAGTGCCAGGTTACAGCTTCTGTCTTGAATATAGTCTTTTGTCTTCTTGAGAAGCAATTCCACAAAGTCAGGATTACTTTTTCTGACGAAAACCCAGTACAGAATTATATTCACACATATTTCAGTAAATTCAAGATTAAAATTTAGTTCGAAACGGTATCCTGATTTTTCCACAAATGCAATATAATCTGTGAGTAGTACGTCAAAGCCATCCAAGTCCATGTACCTCAGAATTTTTGCCAGTGTTCTATAAATCTTAGGTTCATAGCAGTGATATCCCCACTGACCCAAAAACTGCAAGGATGGTCTTTTAGCAATTTTATCAATGAGATTGCAGAATATGTTGCTTCTTGGACAAGAAGTCTTATGACACAATTTAGAAGACTTTCTCATTGCTCCTTAAGGCAACAATATAGAAATAAAATCATAGGAAGGCATTCTGTAGTCCTTTGGCTACATATTTTGATAATGTGGTAGGCTTCACTCCACAAACAGGAAGATCCGTTTCAACTGTAGCCAGAAAAAGTATCATATGAAATATTACCATAAAGAACTGGATGACATCACAATAGGTGGAGATCTGTCATCAGCATATGTCAGAAATGTGGGATATTATATGTAATGAGTGACATTTGAGAATATATATTGGACAATAATGGCATGTGTGGGAGCTAAGATATAATATTTTTAAATTCCTAGGAATTCAGCTCAAGCTGGTATGTATGTTTATCAAGTACTCAAAGCACAGTCTATACATTAGACAAAATGATATTAATAATTAGATTGTTTATTCTTTTTAGGCTATCATATAAACAAAGAGATGATAGTGAGATTGAAAAATTTCAAGTACTATTGGTCTCATGTTCTGTATGTTCTCATTCAATCCTCATAGGATAGTTTCCCTGATTCATAGTTGAGGGCACTAAGGCTTAGTAGGTTAAGTAACCCACCAATAGCCACTGTATTAATTCTCAAAAAAGATGTCATACGATATTAAATAAAATTTGGAAACTTTGTTTTAGAGTTTTAAATTTTGTAGGGATTATTCCTTCTATAAACTAGGCAAAGTATATACAATATGGGCGTTAAAGGTACCTCAAACTCGATATGGCATCCTTGCCACAGTAAAATAAAGGAGAAATATGATCGTTTTTATCATTGTTTAGTAGTTTATGCTGTAGCCACCTTTCTGTTAGATTTCTGTTAAACCTTGGGTGTATTTATTAGCAATTTTTAAGGTACTTAAATGTTTTCTTTTTCCTTTTTCGTATTTTTCTTTAAATCACATGAATGATGTCTTTTTAGTAAGGGGAAATTATGACTTTGGGTATACTTTAATACAATTCCACTAATATTGCATTTAATTTTATAAACTCCAAACTCTCTTTTCCTGGGATAGCATGAAAACCTAATTAACTGTTGTCATCTTTCTGTTAGTTTTTTTTCTGGGTGTTTTAGTAATTCTTTCCTGTTCCTTTCTTCTTCTCTTGCTCTCTTCCCTTGTGGTTTCATGGCTTTCTTTACTAATATATTTGATTTCTTTCCTCTTATTTATTTGTTTGCTTATTATAGGTTTCTGGTTTGTGATTACCATGAGGTTTCTATGTAATATTCTACGTGTATAGCAATCTATATTGAGTTGATATTCTCTTTAGATTGACCTTTTTCTAAAAGCTCTTCCCTTTTAATCCCCTCCTCCCACATTTTATGTTTTTGAAATCATATCTAATCTCTGGATTTGTGCATGTCTATCCATTACCCTCTTATCATTGTAATAGGTAATTTCAGCAGTTTTGTCTTTTAACCTATATATCATCTTCATAGGTGGTTGATCTGCTACCTTCACTGTATTTTTGCCTTTACCAGTGATTTTGTTGCCTTTTTTTTTTTTTTTTGATAATTTTCTTATCCCTGTTTGTGGTCTTCTCTTTTCCACTTAAATAAGTCACTTCAGCATTTCTTGTAGAACTAGTGTCTTGGTGATAAACTCCTTTAATTTTTGCTTGTTTGGGAAGCTCTTTATCTCTCCTTCCATTCTGAATGATAACCTTACTGTATATAGTATTCTTGGCTGTAGGTTTTTTCCTTTCAGCACTTTAAATAAGTCACACCACTGTCTTCTAGCCTGTAGGGTTTCAGCTGAGAAGTCCGCCGATAGCCTTATGGACTTTCCTTTGTATGTCACTTGTTGCCTTTCTCTTGCCACTTTTAGGATTGTCTCTTTATCTTTAATTTGGGACATTTTAATTATAATGTGTCTTGGTGTGGCCTCTTGGTGTTCATCTTGTTTGGTGCTCTCTGTGTTTCCTGTACTTGGATGTCTGTTTCCTTCCTTAGGTTAGGAAAGTTTTCAGCTATTATTTCTTCAAATAAATTCTCTGCCCCTTTGTCTTTCTCTTCTCCTTCTGGGACACCTATAATACGAATGTTAGTGCACTTGATATTGTCCCAGAGTTCCCTTAGACTGTTCTCATTCTGTCTAATTCTTTTTTATTTGTTCTACTTGTTTTCCTCTAGTCTTTCTTTCACCTCACTGATCCATTCTTCTGTATCATCTACTCTGCTATTGAGTCCCTCTAGTGAATTTCTCATTTCCAGTATTGTATTATTCATTTATGATTGGTTCTTTTTTATATTTTCCAATTATTTGTTGACGTTCTCACTCTGTTCATCCAGTCTTCTCCTAATATCATTAAGCATCCCTATAAGTTTTTGTTTGAACTCTTTGTCAGGTAAATTGCTTATTTCTGTTTCATTTAGTTCTTTTTCTTAGGTTTTGTCCTGTTCTCTTGCTTAGAATGTATTCCTTTGCCTCCTCATTATGCCTCTTTCTCTGTGCTTATATCTATGTATTAGGTGAGTCAGCTATGTCTCCTGAGCTTAGAGAAGTGGCCTTATGTAAGAGATGTCTTTTGAAGCTCAGCAGCGTGCTTCCCTCTCGTTACCAGTCCAAATGATCCAAGAGTGACCCCTGTTTGGGCTACTTGTGTCTTTCTGCTGTGGCAGGGTTGCTCTTACTGCAGGTACCCAGGAAGTCTAGTCTTTCCCTCCCTGGCGGCTGTTTGTAAATTGGGCTTCAGGAGCCCTATCACCTCTGGCTGCAACATCTAATAGCACACTTCTGTTGCAGTTTTCCTGTTAATTGAGTATGTACCCAGTGTAGCTGGTTGCTAGGCTCAGGTCAACTGTCTTAGGGTTGCAGCTGAGTGGGGCTGGCCCTATGCATGGGAGCACCTAGTTGTTTCAGGCTTTGGAAGGTGGGGTCAATCTTCTTTGTGGCTGATTGTGAAGCACAGGTCTTCTGCTGATAAGCCCCACCCCCCACAGGTCCACACACACTGTCAACACATCCCTGGTCTGTGCACACTTCCTGACCCCCTGGAGCATACCCAGTTGCCCAACTACAGAGGCCCCCACCTCTCCACCAATGCCCCCCACAGTTCACCTGGTTCTCACATAGGCCCTTCTCCCCAGAGGTGGACACACTCCCCTGCCTGTAGAGGATCAAGGCACCCAGTCTATGCAGGCCGACAAGTAGTCTGAGGGCTTGCTGCTGGGTGGGGCTGGTCTCTAGGGTGGGCTTCCTGCCCTGGCTGAACTGGATGAAATCTGTGCTCTAGTGGGTGTGGCAGAACCCTGGGCTATCAGGCCAGGGGAAGAACTTCAGTGGTGTGTGCCAGCCTCTGTGTCAGCACACCTGTACTAGGTCACAACAATGGCTGCCACCAAAGTCTCAGTCTCTGGAGAGGTCTCACCTCTCATCGAGATGCATCCAGAGCCTACCAGGTGAGTCTCTTTTCACCAAAGGACTGTGCAGCTGTCTTTTTGGTGACTTTAGGTTGCTCTTTGAGATGGGTGAACCTGTGTGTGGAACCTTTAAGATCCAGGTTTTTTCAGCTTTCCTCTGATAGTTTTTCTGGGGACATTCCCCATTGCAGTTAATAGCCAGCGACGCCAGATAGTAGGACACTTGTCTCCCTTGTGCTGAGTCTGAAGGATGCTTATATTGCTAAAGGGCCCCCACTAAGGTCCCCACTTTTCCAGGGAGGGCTGCATACTTTAGGGTGGCTCCTGCCCGGCCAGTTGTGAAGCTTCATGGCTCGCAAAGGTGGCTTTTTTCTCTCCAGAAGGAATTTCTGCCTTTTCCGCCTCAGTCAGGACTGTCCCTTGTTGTGGGAGTTCTTTTTATCCAGTTTTCAGTTTTCTCTCTGGGGTGATATTTCCAATAGTTGTAACCTGGTCGTGTTTGTGAGAGGAGGTGAGTTCAGTGTCTGCCTATGCCACCATCTTGACGAGATCCCCCGTCATCTTTTTGGAAACCAAGAATTTTGTTGTTTTATTCTACTTTCTTTCTCTTATTTTCTCCACCTCAAAAAATACATTTTTAAATTGAACTATTTTTATTGATTTCTTAGTAATACTATATATAAAGATTGTAAAAAATTGAAACATTATAGAGCCAGTGAAAATTCCTCTGTGAGATAATCACAGAAGCTTTATGGATAGCCTTTCAAATATTTTATGTTTATATATATAAATAGATATATACTTTGTTCTCTTTATACAAATGGGATAATATTGTATGTAGCTGGTTCCTTGAGCTGCTTTTTATTTATATAACAATATATCATAGGTATAGTCATATGACCATATATAATAATAAACTCCTATGTACTGCTTACTATGTACCAGGCACTGTCTAAAGTACTTTACATAACTCCTTTAATCCTTAAAACAACTCTGCTTCACAGATAAGGAAGCTGAGATGCAGAGCTTAAGTGACTTGCCCAAGATGGTATGTCTAGTAAGTGGCAAAACTGGGGTTTGAACCCAGGCAGGATGGTATTAGGGGTTTCACGTCTACCCTCTCCTGCTTCTCTAAAAAGAAAGAGCTACCTTTCCATTTTTATGGCTAGCTTATGAATAGAAGTCATGAAATAAGAGCTCTACAATTATATTCAAAAAACAGAAGTACATAGATAGTAGATTAATCCTGCTTTTGGAAAGAAGTGTTATTAAAGTAATAAGAATATATATCTCTACATGTATACATTTTTCCTTTATAATTTTCTTTATGATTTGAATGTCAGTGAGTATATATTTTTTGTAATCAGAAAAAAACAATGAAGTCATTTTCATTTTGAATATAATAAGCAGAGCATAAGTTAAAATTGGTGCTACATTAGTTCTTTAAAAGTTTTTTTTTAAATTATAGCGCTTACTAATGATAAACATCAAAAACATATTTAGTAGACAGTCTATGATTAGCAATAAATTGCTAGCATATATTGAGTTCTTATGTACTTAGACTGTACTAGACAAATGCTTAATATGAATTTTCTCATTTAATCCTCATAATTCTCTACTATTATCTCCATTTTATGGTTGAAGAAGCTGAGGTTTAGATTTGTTAAAACACTTGCCAGAGCTCATACAGCTGGTGAGTAGCAGTGATTTGATCCAAGGCTGAGTCCATAGTCGATGTCCTTTGTCTCTGTGCTGCACTGCCTTCAGACTTTTGTATAACTGTAGCATCTGTGCCAGACTGTTGCTTACACATCTCATGTTCATGGAAAGCTGTCAATAAAATCATTAGAAATCTACTTGCACTGAAAATGTGTTCAACAGCTTTCCTAAATGTCCTGATTTAAAGAAAAATGTTCCATACATTATATACTAGTGATTGAGAAGTTGTGAGTTCCAAGTAAATATCTTA